TAAGGGGAAAGAGATTTTCAGAAGAAGTTGAAGTAAAGCAGGAAAAGCATGTAGATTTAGAAACTAATTTCAAGTAGGATTTAAAAAGGTGGTTTAGTTGATATTTCAATCTTTCTGAAATATCATAAAGATTATCTTAAAAAATAAATCACATGGACTGTAACACTTGGAAGCCCGCACCCGATGACTAAGTTAGCGTTATCTCACTCTTTCAATTTAGGCAGAGAAGGGAAAACTACACTCTTGCTTTCAAGACTGTTGAAATGTACACAATGGCATGTGCCGTAAGAAACTAAGAATTCACAGAGACATAGTTTTACCTCTTAAGTATAAGTTAGGCTGCACATCCATATGATGTCAACTTCATAATTGCTTCAGAATTCACAAACATATTTAAAAGAACCCACAAAAACAACAAAACAAAACAGAGAAAAACAATCTAAAGTTCCTACAGTAACAGCCACTTCAGATTCCTTCATTAACCAGTATCTGGCTAGTATAATTTAAAATAGAATAGGAAAGAGGTCCAGTTAAATTGTAGAGGAAAGGTGATTTTTCCCAACTTGTTAGGCAGAAAAGAGTCATGCTTTGTGGCTCAAACTATGTTTACAGCCCTTTACGGAGCTTGCTTTCAGCCTCCTTCATGCACTATTGACTCCTGTCTTGCAACTGCTGAGTTTAGCACTGTACTTTCTTTCATGGTAGACACACATTCATTTTAATTAATATTTCTCATATCTGTAGGGAAGCATTTTACTTGGAAAATAAACTAAATATGAGGGTACTTAAAAAGGAAATTAATGTAGCTGTATTGTTTGCATTCCACTGAGGAGTGTGCAGAACTGGCAGATAAAAGAAATGTCTTTTTTGAATATAGACTGACCACATTTGGGGTAGAAATTATTATTGTGGCTAAGAAATATGGACATTTCAACAGTATTTAAACATTTTTGTCACCATAGAATCGCATTGAAAAGTAGCTTGCAAATAACTTGAAAAATCTTGTGCATCAATACTTCATTTTTTAAGATATATGATTTATATATATACAATATGCATTTATAAGCTATCACGTATTTATCTTCACATGTATGTATATTCGTCTGTCTTCTTAGGAAATAAAAGAAAGACCAAATCTGTCCATTCTGTCCCTCTCTTGCTCCCTCTCCACTGTTATTCTTCTGTTTCAAATTTATGTCACGTCTTGCCTTTCCTGGTTTTATTGAAAAGTGGTTTGCATTAGATAAGGTGGTAAGGAGGACACAGACTGGATATCTATCATGAATCCTTCTATGGTTCAAAAGCATAAAACTGCACTACAGATTAAGTATCTCCTAAAGTCCCTTGACTCACATCTCATCCTAATTCTCCAGCTATATTTCTCAAACTAGATTCCACATTAAGAAGTGAACAGAAGAAGAATAACACTAAATTTTTGCAGTCTTCTTTACAGATCAATAAAAGTACAAAACAGACATATGATTTACTTTTCCCTTTGCAATTCATATTACAGCTTACTCTCAATAGTTGAACAGAGACGCAAGAGGCTGCAAGGCACAAAGTAGCATCCCTTTATTTTTGTGCAAAATATGTGAAAAGAAATTCAGAGAGCAAGAAGATGGGGATTCAGGCCTATGCTGTCGCTACTGACATTTTTGTAAACTGTGGGTTATTCATTTTAAAGCAAATAGAAAACATCAGAGGACATTCCTGGGTGCATATCACAGTTTTACAGTAAGTCATATTTGGGTCAGAGATCTGCTTAGGCATTTCCTGTTTAGCTTTATCGTTTCGGTTATGTGCAGCTCATGTCATGCCTTAAATTGAGAGAAAAGACTGCAAGGAGGCGTGAGAATGAAAGATTAAAAAACTTATATCAAAAAGATATGCTTCCCCTGGAACTCATAATTCTTCTATTAAAAATAATCATTTCAGTACTTCATGTGTCTTGGTCTATCCTGGTCTACCTGTAATGTCTTTTTCAGAGAGTCATGAGAGGCCAGACTCTTGCACCTTTACACACATTGTTTCTTGTGCCAAGTCGTAGCATTAGTACCAACAAGACCGAGGGCTACTCAGCACGATAAATGGTGATGGTGTTTCACACCTCCCTTGGCCGTAGCACTGGTTTCATAGAAGTGCAAATCACTCCTTAAACTACTTTCACCCCTGTACAAACCTCAGTAAAACCAGGAGACTTGGAACTTTTCATTTCCAGTTTGACTTTTCCTTTCCAGAATGACAGAGATTTTATCTGTGTTTAAAAGTGAGGAATGAGGGCGCAGGGCAGCGGAGGGCAGAAAGGTGGGGCTACCTCAGCTCCTCGGTACCAGCGCCAGACCCTCGGTGCAGCCTGCAGCCATCTGTGTTCATTCTGCAAGGCTTTGCCATCAAAAGCACCCTTTTGCCCATGCAGTGAATGCCTGGGCTCTGGACACTTCCAGATCTCACAGATAAAGACACCTGCATCTGCCTGTTGCCACCAAAGCACCTCTGGTACAACTTTTGACCTTTCCCCTTCCACATGTGCGGTTTAGGCGCCTTGAACATCTAGTGGTCAGGTGCTCCAGTGCTGCAACAGCTCTGTAAATTGTCCCAAATGCCTTCACATCCCTTTTTGGAGCCTGCATCCCCCCTTTTTCTTTTTTTTTAAATTTTTTTATCTGGTTGTTCAAGGCTGGGTGCAGCCTGCTCAATCATGAACAGGTGTGCTGGGGTCAGCTCATCCTTGCTTCATGCTTGCACACAAGTGGTGGAGGCTGCCAGAGCCGGAGATTCCATTCCCTCCTGGCTCTTCTCCCTCACTGCCCCAATGTCTTTAAAACAGGGACCTCCAACTGTTTCTCAAATGTTCATTCTTAACATCCTGCTGGAGAAGAGAGCATTCCCTATTGGGATATTGAAACTTTTCAGTGATTTAATAGCAAAACAGTGACAGGGAAAATTAAGATACAAGTCATGGCTCCCAGTACTGTTTTCGTTAAAAGACTGTCCTGTCATTTTAAATCACTGCAGATTATTGATGACACTTTGAATACCAGGGAAAAATAATGTGGTTTAAATCTGTGCAGTAGAGGGAGATTAAATATATATGTGCCACAAACAATTTTTCAGTTGCTGAAGCACTGAGTAAAATAAGTATCTTTTGAGTGGATGTATCTATATAAAATCTAGAGTATTATACTGTTTTATGTATCTAATACATGAATTTAGGTTGCAACTAATACATAAAGCACTGATCTAATTTTTTTATTAAAAAGCTTGATGTATTTTTATTTTCAATTCCATTCCATCAGCTTCTGTTGCATTGTAAACTGGAGACATATTTCAGAAAAAAAATATTCTCAATATTTACAGTTGTAAAGTTTATGTTAAAAGTATAACCTTTTATATGCAATTTTAATATTTATTTCTTCCTCAAATTCAAAGAATAAAGGGGAAAAAATAAATTTGTTTGGGTTTTTTTGCCTTCTCAAGGAGCTAGCTGTATAGATTATCAGAGCTGTGTAAAACTTTAATTCCTTAAATAACTAAGACTAATGTCCTCAGCAGTGTTCAGTACACTGTTCTGGCTCTGGTCCTTGATGGGTGGAAAATAAAAGAACCTACCAACAGTATTCTGAAAAAAGGTTCTTACTGGTTTATAGATTTTTCTTTTAATTTATTACTAAATAATTTTAACTGAAGATCATAAACATTAATTGGCACTAACAGAATACAACCTACCTTCTGGCATGTAATTTCAATAGCTTATAAGAATGTATGAATGGGTAATACTGTACAATAAATAATACATGAGTTTACATTGTTGCAAAGCATTTAAAATAGTTTAGCTTCTTTCACACCATCTGCTTAATTTACACATTCATTTCTCGAAAGGTTTATTGTTATTAGAGGCACTTATAAAAGAGAAAATTAAGTCGAATTGATAACACAGAGAATTCCTACAATCAGACCTTAGCTTATTCCTGAGAAAATGCTGCAAGCTAAATTAACTGTAGCTTTCTTGAAGATAAATTCTGCTTTCAGATGGTGTAATTCAAGAAAATTCAATTGAAATTAATTGAGGGGTGTAAATCTGGAAATATTCCAGTTGAATTAGTGGAGTTATTAAGCATTTATAATCTTGTGAGAGGAAAAAAATGTCCTTTAGTCAGCTAAAAATACCTAATATGTTGGCAAATGCTTAAAACAGTCATGTATTTCCACTGTAAATCTCTCCTTGCAGCAAATAATTCCTATTCTTTGGATAACACAAAAGGAAATATCACACTTTGCTGAACAGAACTCAGAACAATTTGGAAAATATGTGTATAGCATTTGAGGTGAATTAACTTCAGACTTTATTTGTGTGCTAATACACAGCTTGACTGGTGTCTATATCGCCTCAGATAAATAAATTAAAAATATCTCTAGCTCTACAAATACCCAGCACAATATATTAACACAAGCCATTAATTAACAGAATTTCTTGTCAAACAAACTGCATCCTCTTTTGGGCTCCTTTTGAGATTATTTTAAAATACACTTTCTGAAGCTGATGGACTACCTTACTGTAAGTCTTCTTGAAACAATTACCATGAATATTTTGTTTAATGAAAGAAGCTGGGTTTTTTTTCATATGGGATTAAATACACGACCAACATATGATGAGCTGCTTTCTAAGTGCATAATGTTGTATGCACAACCCAGTGTGCTTAAGTATAAAATTGATCAATCAGATTCTGAAGTACCTTTAAAGTCAAAACATTACTCTCGCTTTTCAAATGTGAATTTTATTTGCAGGCAGTGTTTCAAGATCAGTTTTCCAATTTAAAATTGCTATTGCACACCAGAGTGTAAAGTGCCAGTTAGCTATATGAAAAAAAAAAAAAAAAAAAGTCCAGAATTGACATGCTGCAGAAAATAACCCAGAAAGCCTTCCTAACTGGTAGACTATAAACAGAAGTGAAAACTTTATCTCTACTGATTATTAATTGAGTAAATAATATGGCACTTACCTCTATAAAATCAGTGAACAGCAGAAAACTTTGGTGGAACAATTTACAACAGCTGATGTGTTTGTCCCAGGAATGTGCTTTTCCTAATTAGTGGGCTTTTAACTAATGAGAAACTGAGGGCATCTGAAGAGAAGGGCAGAATTTCACCTAAATGTTCATCATGTCATTGCAAAATAAGTAAATAAACTAAATAAAAATTTAGCCATATTATTTGTAATCAGCCTGTCTCTTGCTGTAATAATTTTGTATCACCTACTTTTACGGCTTGATAAGGGAATGACTGGATTGGTGCTTGAGAAGAACTAATTTTGAGAGTTACACGCTCTGGACTCAGCAGTGACAGACATTAACAGCATGGACAGCTCGGTCACTGTGGCACAGAGAGAAGCAGAGATGCTTGAAAAACCAAGCAAACAAAATAGTTCAGGAAAAGCTATTTTAAAGAACTGTCTGGATGGCTGGGTCCGAGAGTTAGGTGAGTGGAGTTAAATCCAGTCAACCAGTCACAAGTGGTGTTCCTCAGGGCTCAGTTTTGGGGCCAGCTCTGTTTGATATCTTTACCAAGGATCTGGATGAGGGGATTGAGTGCACCTCAGTAAGTTTGCAGACAACACCAAGCTTGGTGGGAGTGTTGATCTGCTTGAGGGTAGGAAGGTTCTGCTAAGGGACCTGGACAGGCTGGATCAATGGGCTGAGGTCAGTTGTATGAGGTTCAACAAAGCCAAGTGCCAGGTCCTGCACTTGGGTCACAACAACCCTATGCCCAGGAGTCCAGGCCTCTTCAGCCAGTGTCACCGACCTCCTGAATGACACCACAGTCACTCCTCATCTCTGATCTCAAAGTTCAACAAGGCCAAGTGTTGGGTCCTGCACTTAGGTCACAACAACCCCATGCAACGCTACAGACTTGGGGAGGAGTGACTGGAAAGTTGTCTGGCAGAAAGGGACCTGGGGGTGTTGTATGACAGCCGACTGAACATGAGCCAGCAGTGTGCTCAGGAGGCCAAGAGAGCCAACAGCATCCTGGCCTGTATCAGAAACGGTGTGGCCAGCAGGAGTAGGGAAGTGATTGTGTCCCTGTACTTGGCACCAGTGAGGTCCCACCTGGAGTACTGTGTTCAGTTTTGGGCCCTTCACCACAAGAAAGACATGGAGGCCCTGGAGCATGTGCAAAGAGCAACAAAGTTGGTGAAGGGTCTGGAGCACATGTCCTGTGAGGTGCAGTTGAGGGAAGTGGGGTATTCAGGGTGGTGAAACACGGGAACAGGTTGTCCAGAGACGTGGTAGATGCCCCATCCCTGGAAACATTCAAGGCCATACTGAATGGAGCTCTGAGCAACCTGGTCTCATTCAGGATGTCCTTGCTTACTATGGGAGGGTTGGACTAGATGACCTTTAAAGGTCCCTTCCAACCCAAACTATTCTATGATTCTGTGGTTGTTTATGCTGGAGAAAAGGAGGCTGAGGGGAGCCCTTATCACTCTCTACAACTACCTGAAAAGAGGGTGTAGCGAGGTCTCTTCTCCCAAGTAACAAAGTGACAGGACAAGAGGAAATGGCCTCAAGTTATGCCAGGGGAGGTTTAGATTGGATATTAGGAAAAATTTCTTCATTGAAAGGGTTGTCAAGCACTGGAGCAGGCTGCCCAGGGAAGTGGTGGAGTCGCCATCCCTGGAGGTATTTAAAAGACATGAAGATGTGGCATTTAGAGATACAGTTTAGTGGTGGACTTGGCAGTGTTAGGTTAATGGTTGGACTCAATGACTTTAAGGGTCTTTTCCAAATTAAGAGATTTGGGCATAAACCTCCCAAAAATTTAACCCAAAGTGCTCATTCTTTGCTATTCCCTGAACATGACACCTGCAAGTGGACCCCAGGGACCTCTGCTTCCTGATCCCACTTAGCTGAGCACCATGGGATGGTGTGAGTGATCAAAGCAGGGCAGAAGAGATCAGCAATATCACAGCACCCTTGTATGCTCCTCAAAGAGGCTTTTAAGATGATACAGCATGACGACAACCTAAACAGCTACATTTTACCTCAGTGACCAGCCAAAAACCCATCAGATGTTTAGGGATGGATAGAAGGAGTCCCTACATAAAGAAGTATGATGCTCAAGGGCATTTGTGTATCATAATAGTGCAGACAAGGAGGTCAGAAACAACCACATATCCATGTGGGAACTGCAAAGTGTAAAAGAAGGAAACCCTGGGTTTCCTCATCTTGTCAAGCATGACTACATTAAGTATTAAATTTGAAATAAATACAGGAAACAAGTACAGAGAATTATTGGAACAACTACAGACATTTTTGTTGATGTTGTTGCCACATTTGTCTCCAAATCGGCACAGCTCTTTGAATTAAATAGGAAACCAGAAGCTCCCTCTGCCCTGGAAATAATAAAGGCAAGTTTCCTCTGAGCCTGTGTCTCATCCTTGACTGAGCTCCAAACGAAGGTTTCCCAAGGCTGAGGCATATACAGAAGATCTCTCCTGCTCTGGTTCTCTGGCTTGCAGCATGACTCCCTTCTTTCCTTGCCTTTTACTCCACAGGTTATTTCTATCCATGGGTAGAGGTGAGATGGCCTCTGAGACCTGAGCCCCTCCTGAGTCTCTGGCTGATGTTTGCTTTCAGAGAAGGACATGCAATTACATGGACAGACTTGTGCCCATATCGACATGCTCTGCAAGGGCTTCAGCATCCCTTCTATAATGGGAAAGGCTGAAACAATTTCTCATTACTGACTGTTGCCCAACACCCTCTGTAGATATGCTAGAGATTGCATTTTCAGCCATCCCAGCCATGCCATGGGTCAGCCACTGCACCTCTGCCACGCTGCTGCTGTGCCCCTCACCACCCATCCGCAGTCCAACAGCCCTGTGACGCATCCCGGAGGGCAGCAAGAGGGCTTGCCCAGCCAGAATGGTTTCTCCTGAGCACCTGCCAGGACTCAGCAACAGCTTACTCAAAACAAAGCACAATTTATTTGCCTAAAATAGAACATAGGACAAAGGATAAAATTAAACAGACAGCTTTTTGTATTTGGCTCTATATCCATCTTCCTTTTTAAGCCACTGTGAAGGTCTCTTCAGCCCTATTATCTCAGCCTGTAGGCTCAGAAGTGGAGACCAACCTGACACACATGTGAAACGCCTCTTTCTCAATGTGTTTCTGGCCATGCCTTTCCCTTGGATGGTGGCTGCTAACCCAGGTGCTGCTCATCTCCCCCTTACTCCACCCGTACACTACTTAGAAAAGCTAGCATCCCCTTGGAGCCTTGGCCTTGCCAGCCCTGCAGCAATCCCCCCCTTTACTTTCCTTCTTGTTCTGGGTCTCATTTTACTCCACTAAAACATTTTCCTTTTTCTTATCTTGTGCTCAAGTGGAACAACATGAAGCAAACCAAGGCATAGTTCACAACAGATTGATTTCCATTATTCTCTGTGTTCTATCTGTTCAAATATACTACATGAAGAATAGCTTTCCAATTAAATGTTATTAAAAATATCAGTATATAAGAGTGAAATATATACATATTTTGCACATGCATTTGGTTTATAGATATATGTAGGTAAAATTTCTGGTATGTAATTAAAAGATAGATCTGAAAACATTTAAAATAGAGTGGTAGGGTGGAAAAAAACTACTCAGATGATAAATCAGTAGAAAGTACTGCATTTCTTTGACTAAAGTGGGAAAGAACAACATATTTGAAATAAATGGCCGACACCTACCAAGATAGCACCCATTCCAGGCTTTTACACAGAACCACACAGAAAAGTGAATCCTGCAGGATAAACAAGAGACAATGACAACTCATTACAATGCCTTGCTTCTTCAAGGCAACACAAGTCATTCAGGCAGTGCTTTGAGCTGCTGGAGCAAGAGAAATCCCTCCAGACACCACGAAAAAAAAGCCAGCAAGAGCAAAAAGCATGTGTTCAGGATGATGAAACAGCCCCAAACAACCCAGAATTGAAGAAGTAGCTTTGAGAAGTACTTTCTGTTTTACAATACTACTTCATGGCAATACTTAAGAGTCAGTGTGATACTTTAACCCACCACAGGTTTCAGGTTCTCACCCGAAACCTGCACTTGTGTGGGCACTAAGAACTCAGTGTGTGTCATTCCTGTTGTTGTTTTTACTTGGTATTGCAGTTTTTGATATTTGAGAAATGGAGATCATGAGGGAGGGACAACAATTGCCATGAGTCAGCAGGTATTGATTCCTGCCATCTGACAAAGGGAAGCTTGGGCATGTGTATATATAATTCTGACAGAGAGGAGGAGAATGATGCCAGGATTTGCAGTCTAGCTCCTGCCAACCTCCCCCTATGCTGTACAAAGCTTCTGTTGAATCCTAAAGCCTTGCTGTGTCTCCCTGAACTCAGGTGGTGGACATCTACAGCTGGCGCCTTCCCAAGTTCTCCTCCTTCTTCTCAGCAGCCGGATATCAGCCCCAGCCAGGCAGAAAATGTTCTATGGAACAGAAGGAATGAAGGCTGCAGCAGAAAAGAGGGAACTATAGGGACAGACTGTTGGGTGAATAATTCAGAGAGAGACTTATACTTTAAGATTTTTAATGAAAGGAATTTGAAGAAGAAAGCTGTACTTTCTGTAAAGCAGTATTTGTTTAGAGCTGGAGAGGAAGAACAGCTGTTCCCAGCCTCTTATTACCCATCTAAAAATAATGATATTTTTATTTTAAAGTTTCATTCCTGATAAATATAATCGAGATTCCTATGCATCAAGAGAGAAATGCCTCAGGAATATAGGTTGCCACTTCAATAAAATGTAGTCCATTCTCAAATGCAGAACTGGTTGCTGGGTTTTTTGTTTTCCAGATAACTAACAAAATAATTAAAATGTATGTTTCCTAATTAATTACCAAGTAGTTATTAATATTGGTGTTTAAAGACTACAAAAAATACAGTCTTGTTGTATATTATAATTAAGGTTCTACCCCATGTCATAGATGCATTCTGAACAACAAACGGTTCTAAAAAACTCACAGCTTGTTAAACAACTGGACTAATATAGCAATTCTATGAAGAATATAAATTTAATAACAAAATTAC